CGTGCACATGGAGAAGCAACTTGAAGAATGGAGACTAAGCATCCCTGAGTGGCAGGGGTATGCATGGACATCTGAAGTTCAATGCTCTATCTATGGACTGTGCTTTATGTCCATTGTCTGTTTAACCTTAAAATAGCTTAGCGCATCCCAGCCCCAGCCCAACCTCATAAACATTGTGAAGGAATTAGCACAAATATTATCATGGCCATTTTACAGATGAGGAAACAGCCTTAGAGAGCTTACTTAACTGGCTCAAAGTAACGTGGATGATAATGAGAAGAGCTGAGAGTCAGATGCAACCCTATGGTCCTCTAAAACCTATTCTTCCTACATCCCTGGTTATTTCTCATGCTAACTAATAAGATAGGAGTTATCCAGGCAAATAAGATTGCCTAACTGAACACTGTTCTGAAGCTGTGCTGTTAGGAATGTGATAGGTAATTAATTGATATTCATGTTAGACTTATCTTTTTAATTATATTTTATTGGTTATGCTATAACAGTTGTCCTGATTTTCCCCCTTTGTCCTCTCCACCCAGCAACCCCCATGCCCTCAGGCAGTCCCCACACCTTGTTCATGTCCATGGGTCATGCCTGTAAGTTCTTTGGCTATTCCATTTCCTATACTGTACTTTACTTCCCCATGGCTATTCTGTAACTACCTATGTGTACTTCTTAATCCCCTCACCTCTTCACCCATTCCCTTCATACCCCCCTCCCATCTGGCAACCAAAAAAACGCTCTCCATATCCACGATTCTGTCTCTGTTCTTCGTGTTTGCTTAGTTTGTGTTTTAGATTCAATTGTTGCTATATATATATTTTTGCTCTTTTATTGTTTGTAGATTTGATCTTTTTCTTAAATAAGTCCCTTTAATATTTCATGTAATGATAGTTTGGTGATGACGAATTACTTTATTTTTTTTTCTTGTCTGGAAATTGTTTATCTGTCCTTTGATTCTAAATGATAGCTTTGCTGGGTAGAGCAACCTTGGCTGTAGGCCCCTGCTTTTTATGACTTTTTTTTTCACAGTTAAGGTGATTTATTTTTTAATTTTTATTTTTTAAATTTTATGTAGTTATTTTTCAAGTACAGTTTTCTGTCTATTTCTCCCATCCCAGCCTCCCCCGCCCTATGCTCCCCACCTCCCTCCTATTTCCACCCCCCTTAGTTCTTGTCCCTGTGTCCTTCATACTTGTTCCTCCAAATCCCTCCCCTTTTTTCCCCTTAAATTCCCTTCCCTCTCCCCTCTGATCACTGTCCCCTTGTTCTCTATTTCAGTGTCTTGAAAATATGGAACGCTTCACAAATTTTCGTGTCATCCTTGCGCAGGGGCCATGCTAATCTTCTCTGTATCGTTCCAATTTTAGTATATGTGCCGCCGAAGCATGCACTTTTCATGACTTTCTTTCTAATCCCCTCTAGTCTGCAGAGTTTCTTTTGAGAAATCAGTTGGAAGTGTTATGGGAGCTCCCCTGTAGGTAACTAAATTCTTTTCTCTTTTTGCTTTCAAGAGTCTCCCTTTATCTTTAACCTTTGACATTTTAATCCTGATACTTCTTGGAGTGGGCCTCTTTGCATCCATCTTGTTTGGTACTCTCTATGCTTCCTGACTTGCATGTCTACTTCCTTCACCAAATTAGGAAAGTTTTCTTTCATTTTTTAAAATAGATTTCTAATTTCCTGCTTTTTTTCTTATGCTTCTGACACTGCTATGATGTGAATTTTGCACCTCTTGAAGTTGTCAAAGAGGCTGCTATATTATCTACATTTTTTGCATTCTTTTTTCTTTTTCTTGTTCTGATTGGTTGGTTTCTTTTTCTTTCTTATGTTCCCAATCATTGATTTGATTCTCAGCTTCATCCACTCTACTGTTGTTTCCCTGTTTTTTTTTTTAACATTTTATTTATTTTACTTTTAGAAAGAGGGGAAGGGAAGGAGAAAGGGGGAGAGAAATATCAGTGTGTGGTTGCCTCTCATGCACCCACTCCTGGGGGACCTGGTCCACAACCCAGGCATATGCCCTGACTGGGAATCAAACCAGTGATCCTTTGGGTTGTAGTCCATGCTCAATCCACTGAGCTATACTAGCCAAGTCTATAAATTGTTCTTTATTTCAATTAGCATATCCTTCATTTCTGACTGGGTCTTTTTTGTGCTATTGAGGTTCTCTCCAAGTTTCTCTAGCATCCTTATAAAAAGTGTTTTGAATTCTGCATCTGATAGATTGCATATCTCCATTTTGTTTAGGTCTTTTTCTGGAGTTTTCATCTGTTATTTCAATTGTGTCCTGTGTCTTTGTCTCCCTGTTTGGCAGCCTCCCTGTGTTTGGCTCTATGTATTAGATAGAGCTGCTTTGACTCCATGTCTTCGTAGTGTGGCCTAATATAGTAGATGTCCTATGGGGTCCAGGGTCACAGCCTCCCCTATCACCCAAACTGGGTACTTGAGGTTTGCCCTTCGTGTGAGCTGAGTATAGACCCTCCTGTTGTAGTTGAACCTTGGTTGCTGTTGGCAGATCAATGGGAGGGATTTACCCAGGCCAGTCTGCTGCAAGAACTGGCTGTGACCACTACCATCAACCATTGCCTTCCATGGAGGATCAGCTGTGCAGGGGCAGGGTGGTGGTGCTCCGACGTGGCCTGTATCCACTGGGTGCACTGGACCTGGGGTTTCCCAGGTGGTATAGACCAAGGTCAGCTCCCACCTGTGTTCTCAGTGTACCCTTCCTGAGCTATAAAGTAATCTGGGATTGCTGCTATTTGTGCTGGGTTTGGAGATTCCCAGGCAAAGCCAAGCTGTGAATCTAGGCTGGCTGCTGCCAGTGTTGGGACTGGGGCTAATTGAGGGCAGCTGTTGCTTGTTTGAGGCTTTAGGAAGTATGAAGTATGAGCCAAGACCAGCCATTCATATGGAAAAGCAGCTTGGGTGGCCTGGTAAGTTGGGTGAGGCTGAGTCTCTGGGGATTTCCAAAGCAGGTCAAACAGTGTTAGCCAGGTTGATGGAGTCTGAGATATGGCACCAGCCTGCTGGCCCTGTGGCTTTCTTGGGGGAGGGTTTAGAAGAGCGACAATGCCTCTGCTCACTTTGATTCCAGACACTTCAGTTTCTCCCTTTATGTCACTGGTGCTTTTTAAGCTGCTACCCCAGTACTGGAGCTCAGAGGGAGTGAGCCTGAGTAGGTGAGTCTGTGTGTGGGTTCTTGAAGAGGAACTGCTTGAGGGTCCAGAAGTTTCTTCCACGGACTCAATCCCCACTGGTTTTTGCTGCCAGAAGTGGTGGAGAGTCATCTTCCTGGCACTGAAACCCCGAGCTGGGGGGCCTGGTGTGTGTCTGGGACTCCTCACTCCCAAGATATCCCTCCCGAATTTTTATTTACCACAAGTGGGTTGGGACCAGCCTGTTCTGCACCTGCACCCCTCCTATAAGGTTGTAGTTTCTTTAATCACACAGTTGTCAGACTTCCATTTAACTTGATTTCTGATGGTTCTGAGTGATGGTTGTTCTGTATTTTAGTTGAGATTTTGATGTGGTTGTGTAAAGAGGTGAGCCATGTTTGCCTGCACCACCATCTTGATTGGAAGTATACTGCGATTTTTTAACTTTTTATTTTGAAATAATTTTTTGGACTTTTAGGAAAGATGCAAAGCTAGTATAGAGAATTCCCATATGCCTTTAACACAGCTTTCCTTTATGTTAACATCTTATATAATTATAGCATAATTATCAAAAATGGAAAATTGACATTGCTCTAACATTGTTAACTAAACTGCAAACCTCATTCAAGTTTTACCATTGTTTTCAATATTAACTGAGTTTTTGAGGGTAGGGACTGTAGTATATTTATTTTCATATCCATAATGCTCAGTGGTGAATCTGGCCTCCAGTTGGTGATCAGTAACTGTTTGGAAATAAGTAAGTGAATGAATGGATGTTGAGTTCCATACTAAAACGTGTGTGTGTGTGTGTGTGTGTGTGTGTGTGTGTGTGTTTGTATATGAGGGCCACAGGTTTAGAAGCACATAAGTAAAGTGTGAGGCTATGTTTTGAATAAATGTCATTCAGAACTAAGTTCCACATTGGACTTTGTGGAGCACAGCCCTTGAAACTGCCAGGTTTTAAAAGCAAAAGTGAATGTACTAACTAGATTGAAAGGAGGATCCAGTGGAAATCACTAAATGGGTAGAAGGCTATGCTGTTACACTTATTTTTATGTGTGCATGCACATTCATGCACTCTGCATGTTTGCATGCACACACATGTTTTGTGTACACGTGATGGTATGTGCACATGAGTGTATGAGAGTGTGTTTATGTTGTGTGTGTGCATTCCGTGCCATGCACCCAGCATGCACATGTGTACACTGTGTGTTTGCATGCACATGCACGTTTCATGTACACGTGAAGGTATGTGCACGTGAGCATATGAGAGAGTGCGTTCATGTTGTGTGTGTGTGTGCATTTTGTGCCACACCTCAGCAAATGCCTGAGGAAGGGAAGCCGCGATTGCTGGCAATCAGTCTTGTGTTTCTAGACAGGTTTCAGAAGTTTATCCTAAAGAAAAACACAGAACTCCCCTGCTTGAAGAGGAAATCCAAACAGTTGCTTTAGGGCTTTTCTTGTCTTTCTCAATAAGTTCAGTAGAGATAACATTAATGAAGTGTGAGTTTTCCTGTGCCAGGGATTTCTGACAGCTTCAAAAGTAAGCACTCTTTTTATCTACACCTTTCCAACCAAGGAATATGAAACCAAAAGAGAAGCAGTATTTAAGGCACAGAGCTCTTCGTAGCAGTTAATGGAGCCTAAAATGGCCACTTTTCTTGCTGTTTTCTTTATCACATTTTAACTGAACTGAAAATATTGATGTAACAAAGTCTAGCAGGCTAAGAATCACATTATTCTTAGTGGGGCAAAACTGGTCTACAGAATTGTTATGAGAATGGATTTTTCTGAGAGACTCCACTTGTGAAAGGTTTTAATTATTTTGTTGTTGTTATTTAGATGGAAGACGTCATAGCACGCATGCAAGATGAAAAAAATGGAATTCCTATTCGAACTGTCAAAAGCTTTCTTTCCAAGATACCTAGCGTCTTCTCTGGTAAGTTTGCGTTCAGTAGAGCTCTGTTTGGTCCAGCACCTGTCACAGAACAATTTAAAATCTATTCTAACTTTTCACTACTGAAACTCTCTAAATCATTATTCAGTAACTACTTATAAAATGCTAATGCCATATTTATCATGTCTGACACTTGATATAGTAATAAAAGAAAACTGAAAAGCAAAAAGCATGACCCTACTCTTAGTTACAAAGACAAAATAAACATATGTGAAATAGGAGAAAGCAATATTAAGTAAAGATGTATGGGACAAATGTAATGTTAATTCTACATAGAAGTTAGGAGGGTAAAAAAAAAAAAAGTCCATGAGGAGGCAGGGAAGGTTCCTGAAGATCAGTGAGCTGATCTGAGCTGAATCTCAAAAATGCAGGGTCCTATTGGCTCCGAGAACAGAGCTGGGAGGGGCTTTACTACAGAAAACCAGGTAGGTAGATAGAAAGAAACAGAGTTCAGTCTGGTTATGAGAATCTTTTAAAGCTAACGCATAGAATCTAATTCTCATGTATGGGGAAATAGAGAGACATTGAACATTTTTGCAGAGAATGTAGTGTTCTAGCTGAGTTGGCGCTCAGTAAAGTCCATTGTCTCTGTCATAGGTACAAGGCTCTTGTAAGGAGAGTTAGGATGCCGAGATTCTGGTGTGGGGCGGGAAGGAATAGAGAGGAACAAGCAGGCAGATTTGGCAAAAGACCGGGTATACAGGATAAAAGAGGACAGGACCCAAGTTCTTTTGGGTGTTTATTTTTTAATTGGGGAACTTTGAGATAAAGCGTTATCAGAATGAGGGCAACCCAAGTTTGATTGGAAGTGACTAGAGAAACCCAGGAGAAAATGGGTAGTGATAAGTTAGAAATCTGGGCTCTCTCTGCCTCCATGAGGAGGTGAAGGCCCGTCCTGCAGGTGGGCTGGGGCCCAGGCCAGTGAGGCTAAGAGAATAGGTGAGGAAAGACCAGCCAAAGCCTTGTTGTGAGTGACCCCTGGCAAGGGTAAGGAGTCTGCGGCTGAGCGCGTGGAGAGGATGGTGCTTGATGGGATTCAGGAACAAGAGTTGGGATGTTTCCTGATGAACAGGATCGAAAGAAGACCAGTGGACAGTGGCCTTGGCGTGAAGGTGATAATTAGGACCAAGTGCAATCAGCAGCCCTGATGTTGGGGTTTTAGCACCTCAGCGGTAGATGCTGGTCAAAGCCTGGCCCATCAGCTCTCTCCCCTGAGATTCTGTTGAGTTTCCTGAATGTTACTTAAGTGTGTGTGTGTGTCTGTCTGGCACTGAGGTGATGACAAGACAACCTGGGGCCTGGATAATTGGCCGTGTGCAGATTGAGAGAAATGAAACACAAGAGGAAGGAGAAGCAGAGATGATAAGACAGAGTTCTGGGTCCCTGGCGGCTTTGCAGCCCCTGTCCCTGTGTTCCGGGGCACAGTGAGGCCACCTCCAGAAACATCCCATGGGGTTCCTTATCTCCACCCGGAAACTTCTACCCTTTGGTCCGCTGTGTTCTCCACTTCCCTGTTCTATGTCCGACTTTCCCTACATCTGCTGCAGATTCAGTGCTGGTTCTTAGGAATGCCCATCTGCCAAGCCTAACCACAGAGACTTTAATTCACTAGGACTGGGATGCAGCCGTTTTTAAGCTGGTAAAAGAATAGAGAGGATTGGCACCTGCTGGTCTAACAGACACACTGGCTGCAGTTCCTTTAGATTTTTTATTCCGTTCATCGAACTGATCGGACACCCACTGTGTTCCAATTACTGTACGGGTTTCAAGGACTACAATGTTCATTTTAGTGGGGAAATAGATTATTATGTGTTAGCACTAAATGTTCCGCTGGTATGATCGACTGAGGCGAGTTCTGTTCCCGGAGGTTAAAAAAGTCCGTTGTGGGAGCAGAGCTGTTTCAACATTTTCACTTTATAATCAGATCGTCAACCAAGAACCCTACTTACTACATGTATTTAACTCCCGAAAGAAATACCTCTGTGAGGTTTGGGTATGATGACATAGAGGCCCTTAGAGTCGGCAGAGACACGATTACTTACCCACCGTTTTTAACCTTTGCAAAGTTATAATCAAACATACTTACTTCATGAGTTCTCTGAGTTGCCCAGGAGAGGATCCATGAAACCCATTTGTTCTATAATAAAGTGCTAAGGAAACTATCTTTGTGGATAAACTTGACTTTTTGCTTTTAAAAAACAATAAGAAATGTATAACTTGTATTTTCCTTTTCTTATTTTTTTTCTAATTTCTAGGAAATTCATTGCTAAATTTGACATTTCATTCATATTTCTCCCCTGACTCATCCCTGACATATCTACCTTCCTTTTTCTTCTAATTGGTTGTTTGTCTTTCATTGCTGTAGTTTTAATTGTGTGTGTGTGTGTGTGTGTGGTGAGGGGGGACTAATATTATAAATTGCTTCAAGCCATGTTTTAGAGTAGATAAGGGATAAATCTGAAAAAGAATCTGTGAGGTATTCTCTGTGTGTTGAGGAATTGTGTTGCCCAGAATCCTCACCTTTCAAGTGGAGCTCTATCTTGCCTTTGAATGGAAGCTCTCCATCACAAAATAAAATGAAAGATGAAGTCCAGACATTACTGCATGATGTCTTTTATAAAAGTGTTCATGCAATTTGTATGCAATTGTGGCCTCAGATTGGAAAAATAACTATAAAGCTAAAGATAAAATATTTCAAGATTTTGCTGAGGATTTTCCCTGAATGAAACCCACATGTCTTGTTCCTACATGATAGCTGTGGCCCTAGAGTTCAGATCCTGTCACAATATTTATTCATCTTTCATCTGAAAATCTTTGCGAAGCCAAATTATGACCCTCACATCAGCTGGAAAGCCTTCGTATTGTATTTAAACCCAAAATAGAAGGTCCAGGTTCAGATGGAACACAAAATTTTGTGGATAAAAGAGTAAATGATTAATTTTACATGTTTTATGGCATTTGATCCAGCTTTGATAATATTTTACAATTGTAACATCTACCTCGGCTACATGCATATTTGAATAAATTAAAATGGACCACAAAGTTTTCCAGCTGCTTAACAAGATGTTGAAATTGGGGAACGTTTTCTTTCTACAAAATATAATACATTATAAAAATATTGAATATTATTTGGGAGTAAATTTTTGATTCAGTCATGGATGCTTTATGGAATTTAAGTGTATGAACATAAAATAAATAGGCTTTAAAACTTGATGGCAGAAAAAAATGGCTTTTTCAATATTGAATGTTTTAAGAGTTTGAATCAGCCATTGGGATTTTCTTTTCAATAATAAAGGTATTTTAATAAGAATTTGTTATTTCAATATTATATATTAGAATAGCACTAGTTATATATGACAACTACTTTTATATTGTATATGATAAATATATTTTATTTTTGAGGGGAATATTAGTAATTTGGGAGCCTACTACATAGTTATTGACTTTTAATATGTTTGTTTTATTTCTTACTATACTTCAAGGTAATTATTGTTTATCTCTTTATCACAGAGAAGGAATTGTACGGTCAGAGAGTTCAAATTTTTGCCTCAATGTTGCACAGCTTACTAACATGAAACCACATCAGTTCATTCAAGAATCTTGCCCTGGCTGGTGTGGCTCAGTGGGTAGAGTGCCAACCTGCGAACTGGAGGGTCGCCAGTTCCATTCCCCGTCAGGGCACATGCCTGGGTTGCAGGCCAGGTCCCTCATTGGGGGTGTGCGAGAGGCAGCCAACTGATGTTTCTCTCTCACATGGATGTTTCTCTCCCTCTCTTTCTCCCTCCTTTCCCCACCCTCTGAAAATAAATACATAAAATCGCACAAAAAAACAGAATCTGCGTCTCCTTCCCTCCCTACCACTGATTTCTCCATAAGTGCATCTTCTCACGTGCCCGTGTTCATTCAGCAGGACAGATGAGTGTCTATCTCAATCTGTGGGATTCTCAGTACTGGGGACGCTAGTGTTTGTCTCTCAACATCGCCCCCTGGGGGTGGAACTCCGGAACACCCCTCAGAAAGACTTGAGCTGTTGTCTTAGTCTTTCCTCCCAGGACATGCGTGCCTTGAGAAAACAGCTGCAGTTTCTCCACCTCCAATATCTGGAGGTTACACCTGATGATCCCCAAGTTTCCTTTCCATGTAAGCTCTGTATTTCAGAGAACTCAGAAAAGGAGAGTGTGGAAAAGGCTTACTGGAAGAGAACACAGTAGACTGGACTAGTCACAAGATGGCTAGAGTGGTGTAGCATCAATGGAAATCTTCCATTGTATGTCTTCCTTTAGCTAATTCCGTGTCTACAGCTTTAATCACAAACTCTCCACACCCTTCCACATGTGTATCTCTCTGGTCCAGATTTTTTCCCTGAACTCCAGTATGTTAAACTGATGCGATGTTTCCAGTTGGTTATTCCAAAGGTACCTCCAACTCCACATGCCTAAAACTAAATCCACAGCCTTTTTCTCAGTCCCTTCCCTGTGTTCTGTCTCAGGAAAGACAGCCCACGCCAGAAATGTCAGAGTCACTGTGACCTCTCTTCCTGTAGCCCTGTCTTCTCATGGCAGTTTCATCAACACATCTCACCCGTTTTTTCTCTGAAGCCGCCATCCAATCATCTGGCTTCCGACCCCCTGCTCTGGTACTGCTCCAGTCTACAGTGTCAGCTCCACTGACCCGAGCTGCCACATCGACTCGCAGCTGGTCTCCACATCCCCTCAGCCCTTGGTTCTCCCGTCCCCACAGGGCAGCAAGCCGCACGGTGTTTTCAAGTTGCAAATTTGACCCATTAAAAATATTTTCTCAATTGAGCATTAAGACTGAATTCTTTAATGAGACTCCCTGCCGGACTCTCACCCCAGCCTCAAAGCACCTGCACTCTTGCTTCCTCGGTTGCAGCCGCGGCAGCCGTTTCCCCTTCACCTTGCTCCCCGTCTCCGAGCCTCGGGTGCTTTCCGCCACTGTGCCGCTTCCTCTGTTCTGGATGC